CACGGAAACGATTCAGGTAAGCTCCTTCTGCTCCGCCAATTTCTTTGCCATTTAAGTCGAATCGCCTGCTGGGCGAGCATTAAAAAGTACAACTTAAGTGCGATAATTAAAAATGAAACGAACAATTTACGAGTGCGATCTGAGGAGTCTGGCACGCGACCAAAGTTGTGGGCGTTCCCAGCTCTATCTATCCTGGCGATTTTTCACACCCAAGACACTGGTCATGTCCGAATGGAGACTTTACGTTTGACTTGCCCACCGACTTGATTGATGTGCACCGTCGTTTTGTTGTTTGCGCAGAGCTCAACAAATTAATTGAAGAGTTTCCGTGTTTTTTTTCGGCAATGGAGTGCGCTGGGCAATGGTAATCCTGGGAGCAACCCCCAAGACACGCCTACTGTCCCGCTAATTGCTGTCATAAATTTTGAACTCAACTCGCTGGGAAACATTCTTTCGGCAAATTGTTGTATTCGGTCGTTGAGGAAAATGGTGAAAAGGGGGTAGATACGCTATTACCAAAGGGTTGTATAGGGCAAGTTTGAAGATTGAGCAATTAGAGAAAGAAATAACTTAATGGAAAGCGTTCTTGAGGGAAACAAAAATTGTCTAAGCCTATTTCCCTTAAAATTCGGAACTTACAAACGATATCTTGGTGGTACTTGTGTTAAGTTCATGAAGATTATTTATTAAATTAATGAATGTTCTCTTGAAACTGAAAAGGATTTTAGCGAATTATATCCATCAATGAATATGTGGGGATTCTTAAATGGAAAACCTATTTTTCTTAAAATATAAGTGTGAAAATGTTAAATTTCAATGTCTAATGCTGTTGTAGAAGTAATTTCCCAAAATTTAAAAAATAAAAAATTATATTTACTTTATGACATATAATTTTAAGACTATATAAAGGGTGGTTTGAGGAAGGACAAGGCTAAATCTGTAAATGTAGATCCTAATATTTATAACATTATCTGGTAAATCATTTTAAAGAGTATATTTTATTCGAAACAATAGAATGGTGTTACTCTTTAGCTTCCATTTGTTTTGGTTTGCATGTTGTCTCAGCTTGGGCTCTTCCCGCGACCACTTTCCCCGTACTTTCCCCGCGCTTTCTCCCTTGTCACCCGGAATGAAAATCGCTAGAAACAACGTCGGGAAAGTCGTCTGTACTGGCTGCTGTTGCTTTTTATTTCCCAGCTGCTTTCGTTTTGTGTTTTTCCTCGTAGAGAACGTGGCTTCCGGATTCCTTTAGTCCTGCGTTAAAGCGAGATGGACATAAGCGGCGAAAGAGAAGGGGAGACTTCGTCTCTGAAACTTGATTAAGTAGTTTCCGCGTGCTTTTATTTGCACAATAAAAACATAACGTTTTTTTTTTGTTTCGCTAGAGTTGCTTCTCTAGTATTAAAGTTGGGTGAAAAAAGCGCCAGAGCAAAATGTGTGAAGTGGACTTTTCCCGGGGAATTGCATCCCTTGGTTGTCATGCTAGACGTGCTGGCTGTTGCTATTTAAGCCGCTATTTTTATGGCTTTCACGTTGGAATGATAACGTTATGACTCCATTGTGACAAGTCGCGAACGTGGTTTAGTTAAAATTGTCTGGTCATGCGGGATTATCTGAAAGGATGGTTTATTCTCACTCATGAGATAAGCAGCACAATTTAGAAACAAATAATACAAGAGCATGGGATATATATTTTTATTTTGATCATATCAAAAATAATGCTACTAAAATCAGTAAAATTATTCTTAGTCAGTTAAAAAAATATATTTTTACATGCTTTTAGGCAGCCAAAAAGATAAATAAATTTTAAGTTTTTTGATCAGTATTGATATATATTATATATATATCAAACATATGTCATATATTTGCTATAGCTTGTAGACAATTTGATCAACTTAAAACTTGCTGTTCAAAGACTTTATATGTTCAAAGTTAGAAGAAGTAGTTAGTTGATTTTGAGAACTAACAAAATTAAATTTGTTAAGTGTTGACCTTCTCTTAAAGCATTTCTCTTACACTTTTAATTGGTAAAATATTAGTATCGCTATGTAAGCCGTATGTTTTTAAAATAACTTTCATTTTGTTTAAGTATTAAAGAGTTAGAGACTCAACTAGCTATATTTCCGATCACCCATTTCTTCCCGCCTAAATACCATTAACAGCTTTCTAGTATTGCCTAATGGTCGTGTATCTGAACGTAAATAGCGGCCATATGCCGTGTTTTATACCCGCAGACGACGCGGCCATTAAAAATGATTACAGAAATGCCTTAGCACACCCGCCCACGAATCTAATTTCACTTTTCGCCGCATATGCTGCCCACTTGCAACTTGCCTTTTTTGGCCATTTCATTTTTCTTCTTTTTTTTGGCAAAACAAACAACATAAATATGGATTTCTCATTAAAATGCCAAAGTTATGCCGGCACGTAGATGGAAATGCTGCGAGTCCTTCGAGTCCTGCGAGAGCGGAGCCTGCGCATTCGATTTGTTTTGCTCTCCCCCAATGTCAATGTCGTGCTCTCTTAGCCATGTTCCTGCTCTCTTTTGGGCCAAGTCACGTGCTGCCATTGAAGGAATTTCACTGCCGGCTGGGTCGTAAAGGAGAGCAGCCGGATGAGATGGGGGCACGAGCATTGGCACTGGCACTGGCACTTCTCTTAACACTCAGCCAGGACGAAAGGACAATGTGACGCATTTGTCATGAAACGGATTTCCGGTATTGTCGTCGCTGTCTCTGCCACCCCACTGGATACCGCCCATCCACATCCCCACTTGGCTTTCGCTAGGAAAACTTGTTCAATTTTTTATGACAAAGCCGTGGAGGAGCAAAGAACGATGGAAAGTCGCAAAGAAAAAAAAAGTTTGTCGTGCCTGGCCGCAAAAGTGGCTATTTAGCATTTTAGAGTAGGCGAACATGACCTCAAGGAACCTTGTGCCCCCATTCACCGCACTCCTCTGATTCTTTGCCATTTGGGCCTCTGAATTTTTCATTAATTGTATTTAAAATGGTTCGCCGAAGAAAAAAGTACAAGTGGAAATTTAAATGAGCTAAATTTAACAATGATTACCGGTAATGGGTAAAATTTCAAGGTGGTAGAGATTAGAAACATAAAAAGGATACTTCTTAACACTTAAATTTAAAGTCCAAACGTGTTAATATTATTTCCTAACTGTTTCAAATTTGACTATAAATTTTGTTGTTAAATGTAGATGGTTAAATGAAAATGGTTAATATTTATTTTAATTACACTGTGCCGCAGTAAATTTGTACCCCGCAAAAAAAGATCATATGTTATAGGTGCAACAAATAGTTAATTCATGAATCCTTATTCTTCTTTAGTTTCGAAAATGCAAATTAGCGTAAAAAAAAATTAGCGTCCAAATAATTTTTTTAACTTGAAAAATATATTTTATAGTACATTCAACAAAACTCACCAATTATATTAATGTAGGTATCGTACAGTTGCTCAGCTCTTTAGATAAAACACCCTTAAATGCATTTTCCCTGTTTTCCAAACATGAGATCAAAACTACTACTCAGGTAGGTAGTCCTTGAAAAGTATGCAGCAATTCCCTATCTCACGATGCACCCTTAGTTTAATAATTCTAATAATTCCCAACTAGTTCTATCCTTTTTCGAGTGGTATAGGAATAGATTTGGAGTTGAAAGTTATCTTTGCGCAGAGGCGATATCGTAACCAATGAAGTTCTACTGAGGTGCGATTATTGCTAGTTGAAAACTTTAACCAATACCCCGCCATGGGGACGTGAAATACCGTCCACTACGGCAATTTTTGGGAGCCCGAGAGGGCCATTAAAAATACATTAAAATATTAGATTTACTCTATTAACATCCCAAAAGTAGTAGCTGCTGAACTCAGCATCTTCTCTCTAAAGGAAGTCCTTAAAACGTGTTAATGAAACGACACCAAAGGCAAATCTTGATGAGTCATAATCATTAAGTGACCATATAACTAAGATACTTGGGATAAACTGAGTTGGCTTAAAAAGGATATGAAGTCCACACAAATGGCAAATCATTGTGTAAAACTATTTTGCCTCAACCATTAATTTCAGACCAAGCAAAGCCATGCTAAAGGGTTCATGGACATTAGACAAATTAAACTTAATGCTAACTCCCATTTATAGCCTACTTCAGCTAAATTACAATAACCGTCCTTTGCATACAAATGCCTGTTGGTGTGTGAATGCGGGAAAATTCCCCAAATGTTCCTGACCGAAAATTACTGTCGCAATTTATGTTTATGTGACTGGAAACTTTTTCCTCTGGCTAGATTTTTGTGTTTTTATAGTTCAAGTTCGACAGGGGAAGGAAACCAGATAAACTGAAACCTTTAACTTCTGTGTGAATTTACTACTTGGTTAGTTTTGGCTTTCGAAAAACTTCAACCGAGCCTTTTTGGTTTTTACTTTTGCCAATTTAGACACGAGAAAAAAAAAAGAATGCCCCCACACTGAATTCAGATTTTCCGATGCGTAACGTCGGTTCAACTCTAGAGACTGACGGGCTGGCTTGTTTTCCTTTTTATGAACTTAGCAAATGTAATTCCGAAGCGACCCATGACCCCGAACATATTTCATTTTTTACGCTTAGCCTACTTTTTGTCAATGCCGAGCATGTAGCACTGATTTGGATTGTGGCCTTTTCTTGGATCGCCTCAATTTATGCGTTATTTATGCAAAACAATCCCGCATTGATGAAGATGCCTTCGAATAAAGCCAGGACCGTGAGCCCTGGGAAAAGCCCAGGAAGAGATAAAATGATTCAATTAAAATTTATGGGAATGGCAAAAAGGAAGGTGCAAAGCGTACTGTTGTTGATACCATCTTTATTTTAGAACTGTTCAAGGAATTCCGTTTTCTTAAAGGCTTCAAATTCTTTTTATTGCAAATAAAATGGATTTTTCTTTAAATTAGAAAGTATACAGATAACTCTTTCGAATGGTATTTTGATTTAAAAATGTATTATCAATTGGCCCAGCAACAATAGTCGCTAGGCCTTAACAAAAATTGAGTTTAGACTCATTTGGGTGTCCCTCTCCACGGAAATCTTTAGTAAAAGGCGAAAGATTTATTCGACAATTGAAGAGAAACCAGAGTAATTTAACAACACCAAACGCACGGTTCTAGGTTCAGAAATGGCTAGAACTAGTTGGGAATTATTAAAATGACTGTACGAAGTAGATTGCAAATGAAAGGCGGTCAATCCAGCTACCTGGAAAAAGGTGTTAAGGGGAGTAAGGGAGTTAATTTAAACAACAAAATTGTAGGGTTGATGTTTATACTTTTTGAGGTAGATAATTGATATTATACTTATTAAACAATCACCTGTATCACCTTATGTTTATTTGGCGACTAGGTTTTGACAGCTATGCTGAAGAACATCAAAGTTTTGCCGAAGTACTTACTATTTTTGAATTCATACCAATTCCTTTGTTAGTTGTGTTGTTGAGTATTGTTGAGGTCGTTAGATTTGCAGTCAATTAACACTTTAGTCTTGGTAAATTAATTTCACCGAACAAATTAAATTATTAACTTTTATTGTTCTATATAATCGGGTTATCTTTTATGAAATTCTGTCTGAACTGTCATTTGTACCTATAAACATCGCTAGTAAATAAACACGATGATGACCTTTTTACTGGCTGTTGTTTTTGCTATACTATTTACAACTCAATCTATAAATGTACCAAGAGGTCGTCGAAGGTGCGGCACATGGAGGGATAACTGTTATATTAATAGTCAGGGAAATTGTGTAAGCACGCGAGGAGGTCCATGTGGCCTTGACATTTTGATAAGAGATAAATGATAATAAATGGCTTAAAAATGCAATACAATGTTAACCAAATATAAAACATTACTTACTATATTGGCAATATTGTATATTTTATTTTGCTGGAAATATTCTATAAGCGAAAGTGTGTAATAAACATCCCCCAAAGTATTCTGCAATTTTTGTTTTTTTTTTTTCATTTTTAAACCTAATAATTCACAACTAGTTTTAGCTGCATACGAATCAACTTCTTTGGTTTGTGCAGAAATAGTTATCGCTTCTCGGCCTTATGGCTAAGATCAAAGTGTAGTATCTGTTCTTATCAGCTTAACATCTGATAGTTCCTCCATTGGAGGACAACAAATGTTAAACTGATTTTTGGAATCAGACGGAGTGCTAGGGGCTTGCTCCACCTCTGTCGCGGGTTGGCCCGGTATTGCAGTACCGCCGGGATTTCGGCCCAACTGATTGATAAATGCTAATATCTAGGGAGAAAAACAGGACTCTATTGAGTTGTGAAATCCCTGTTGTTCATAGTTGAAAGCAATTCCTGTGTGGGATGCAAATTGAAAGGATTGTGTGTCATGATAGTTGTTTTTGCTGACATTGCAAGTGTGCACTTTTGGCCCAGGTTTGTTTTTGTTTTATTTGGGTGGAGACAAGCTGCTTTTCAGTTTTATAGAAAATTGTTTTGCCACTCGGTCTCTGTCAAGTGATTTGGAAAATTGAATGGATTAATTTTTTAGTCATACCGTTTTTGTTGTCTGTTGTCTCTCTTTACTAATGCTTCTAGACTAAGTTCTTACCGACAGCCGAAGAGTTTTCGCTGTTTTATAAGTACTAAATAAGTGCGATTAAAAACAATATCAACTTAGGGGACTTAATAAAATGTGTTCTGTGCTCCACAGGCACAATTTTTATCACCTCCCATAAGACTTTTACTTGATTTCGGTATTGTCAAGGTGTGATCTTCTACTTCCTCAAAAGTATCTGTGTTCGTTTTGGAATATTTTAATTTGTCATATAATATTACAAATTATAATTAAATAATAGAAACTGAATATGAATAATAATTGAATCTTTATATGTATTTATATACAGAGCTGACAGCTAATTAGCGCCAAGAGTCTGGCAGTTCCTTTAAAAACCATTACAAAATGGTAACTTTACTTTTATTAATTTTAATAGTTCATTGCTGCTGCTGCTTCTTTATTTCTTTAATTTGGTTTCAAACGCTTAAGGACAGAAAATGGTGTTCCTCAAATTTGTTAGCCCTTCGTTAAGACTCCGTCACCAAAAACTCGAATTATTACAATAACGTGTCTTGTATTTCACCTTTTTATTGAACATTTGGAGGTAGCAGCCACAAACTTTAAAAGGTATTAAAACAACAGCATTGATATCTTTCATGAGATATACTTGTTTGAGTATTTGTTAAATTTATAATCGATTTGCCCGGCAACCGAAGTCGCTAGGCCTAAACAAAAATTGAGTTTAGACTCATTTGAGTGTCCCTCTCCACGGAAATCTTTAGTAAAAGGCGAAAGATTTATTCGACAATTGAAGAGAAACCAGAGTGATTTAACAACACCAAACGCACGGTTCTAGGTTCAGAAATGGCTAGAACTAGTTGGGAATTATTAAAATGACTGTTCGAAGTAGATTGCAACTGAAAGGTGGTCAATCCAGCTACCTGGAAAGGGTGTTAAGGGGAATAAGGGAGTTAATTTAAACAAAAAAATTGTAGGGTTTATGTTTATACATTATGAGGTAGATAATTGATATTATATGTATGTTTTTACAGCTATGGGATACCGGCATTTTCCTAATGATGAAGGAGACGTTTCCGACCCCATAAAGTATATATATTCTTGATCAGGATCAATAGGGGAGTCGATATTGCCATGTCCGTCTGTTTCAATACAGTTTGCGAGCTTAGTTTAAAAGCTAGCGATCTGAAACATTCACAGTCATCCTAAAACATGTGTTTTCAAGTTTGAAAACCCCGATCGGATGTCTATATCATATAGCTCCCATCGGAACAATAGGGTGAAATCGGTCCAAATTTGATGTTTTTCAGAATATTTCGCGCAGTGTGTAAGCAATTGAAATACATTTTCCAAGTCTTATTTATTTACGCACATCTTGATCAGGGTAAAAGCGCTTGCCGATCAGACGTCTATATCTTATAGCTTCCGTAGAAAAAATTGTTAAAGGCTGCGAAAGTATCCCTTTTTTTCTATTTTTATATGACATTTTTGCAGTATATAAGCTATTGACATGAAACTCTGCAAATCTAGTTTATTTATGTATAACTTATTTCTTTCGCTACTTTTTAAATTTTAGCAATTTCGGCAAAGTCTGCAGGGGTAATAAAACTTCGGGTTGCCGTCCTCATTATTTTTAAATTCAAACCAATTCTTATGTTAGTTGTGTTGCTGAGTATTGTCGAGGTCGTTAGGTTTGCAGTCAATAAACACTTTAGTCTTGGGAAGCTTTGTGTGAAAATTAATTTCACAGAACAAATTAAATTTTTAACTTTTTTGGTTCTATATAATCTGGTTATCTTTTTTAAAATTGTGTCTGGACACTCATTTGTACATATAAACCTCTTTCGCATCAATCTTTTTAACAGAGTGCCTTAAAAAATCAACACGATGATGACCTTTTTACTGGCTGTTGTTTTTTTTTCTATACTATTTACAACTGAATCTACTTGGACAAAAATTGTACCAATAGGTCGTCGAAGGTGCACCACTTGGAGGAATGACTGTTTTGTTAATATTGAGGGTAGATGTACAACCGCCCGAGGAGTTCCATGTGGCCCTGAAACTTTGTTAAGAGAATAAATGGCTTAAAAATGCAATACAAATATAAAACATAACTTACTATATTGGCAATATGTATTTATTATTATTATTTTTTTTTATTGTGATATAACAACGAAATGGTAACAAAGATTGGTTCACTGTTACCTAACTGGGGAACTTAAACCAATCAGAAATAATAAACGGAAAAATTAATTATGTCAGCAGCACATAATAAATATAATTTATAGAAAAATTAAATAAATTGAGGCTAAGATTATGCGAGAAATTTAAGTATAGCATTACTGGTAATCATTAAGTCAAAACCCGAGCCAGCAGGTCTTGAGGATGATGGCCTTTCAGTCTTCTCCTGACCGTAGTGTATTATTATTTTGATTTTTTTTTTATATCCTTGTGGAGGGTGGACCCACGCACATACCAAGGGAAATTCTTTATTTTCCTCAAAGCTCGGTTTTGCTTGTTGTTTGGCTGCGATCCCCCATATTTATATGCCGTATCAAACTGCATTGCAGTATTCACGCTCATCAAAAGCCTGCAGGATGTGCAAGGCAAGTCTGTGAACCTGCTCTACTGTGCCATGTCCATGTCTGAAGACAAACTGGTGATCCGGAAGTAAATGATGTTGGCTAATAACTTCTCGTTGTCGTTGAATTATTTTGATGGAAATATTCTATACGCCAAAGTATGTGATAAACATCCCCCAAAGTGTACTGCAATATTTTGTTGTTTTTTTCTTATTTGTAAACCTTATAATTCACAACTAGTTTTAGCTGCATACGAACCAAGTGCTTTGGTTTGTGCTGAAATAGTTATCGCTTCTCGGCCTTATGGCTAAGATCAAAGTGTAGTATCTGTTCTTATCAGCTTAACATCTGATAGTTCCTCCATTGGAGGACAACAAATGTTAAACTGATTTTTGGAATCAGACGGAGTGCTAGGGGCTTGCTCCACCTCTGTCGCGGGTTGGCCCGGTATTGCAGTACCGCCGGGATTTCGGCCCAACTGATTGATAAATTTTACCATTTGTGGAAAACACTTTTCTTTATTGAGTTGTGAAATCCTTCCTTTTCCATCGTTGAAACAAATTCCTGTCTAACATGCAAATTCGAAGGATGTCTGTCATGATAGTTTCTTGCTGACATTGCCAACGAGTCCTTGCCGTTGCTCCGGCTTGGCTACTTTTGGGCGGAGACAAGCTTCTTTTAAGTTTCAGTCCTTCGGAAATTGTTTTGTCGTTCGTCGTTGTCAAGTGATTTGGAAAATTGAATTGATTAATTGTTTTGAACTGCGGGCTGGCTGGCTAAACTGTATTGATTGCCCCCAATCAGAAACTTTAAGAATCAAAATACTTTTTATTGAAAAGTTTAATGATTTTTTAGCTTTCGGTGCTCATTTTGATAAGCCGCCGAGCCCAATAAGAGAACAAAATTTATATATAACCTGCAAAAGAAAGAAGACTTTATAAAAATAGGTTAAAAAACTGAGGGACTACTTTGCGTTC